GCCACCTTCAGGCTGGCCCTCTTCAGTGTCAAGATCACTGCACAATCGGAGAAGGCCTCCTATGTCCAGCTCACCTAGGCGAAGGTAGGATGAAAAGTGGTCTCTATAAAAGATTTTACAGCAGCATGCATTGCCTAAGCATTCTCCACAATAACACTTGGTTCCTCGGAGACAAACTTTCAGACGACAACTTGCTCCTGAATCGCATGTTTGCCATTCTCCACAACAGCATCCACACACGCTATTTTCATCCGCTTAACCCCCAAAAAACACTCAACGCTCTCGACAACCTTATCCACCACCCGGACAATGCCCTTATGAAATATTACCCCGAATCTTCCTCTGTAGCTTTTCTCCTTGTAATCACCTCTTCCAACCTCTTATTAACACAATCTGCCTGGCTCTCCAACACCCTCTTCTCCTCTACTAAAACCTCAATTTCTTGAGAAAATCGTTCCACTGGCCCATCCAAACAATCCACCTTGTCCTCTAAAGACGTTTTCTCCCCTGCTAAAAGATCAAAGCGCTCCTTGAATAACCGCTTCTCCCCTTCTAACTCTAGCAACCTCACTTTTAGTTCATCCCGCTCGGCCTTAATCAAAGCAAGCTCACCGAAACTAGAATCACTCTGATGAAGGTGAGAGGCATTCCTCACCATGTATGAACAAACCTGTGCAGCTGCATATAAAAGGTTGTTCGAAAGATGTGAGTTAGAGAGAAGCTCCAAAGGCACGATGGTAGTAGGGGAAAAAACATGGGAACCATAATCATATGTCGTTGTATGCTAGGAGAGATGAGATTCATGGGTTATCCCCCATCCTGGAACATATATGGGCAGCACCGCCGGAGTAGTAGAAGCAAAAGCCTCGGTAGTACTATCCCCAGTCAGAAGCAGGATTGGTGAGTTTCGAACAACTTCGCAAACAATGTCTGAGTCAACACCAAAAACGTTCCTACCTAAAGCAGCAGTTTCCACTGGCTCCTATTTAGTTCCACGAGGCAGTTAAGTCTCCCCTTCTCTCATCCCCTCCAACTATTTCGAAGTGTCATCATTTGGGATATAAACCACTACAGTGGCCTCCCCCAAAAGGAAGTCAACGTTCCGCCTCTTGAGAAGGCGTCGATCCGATGAGCTGACCTCAGCAGATTCTGCAAGCGGCAAATCCAACCAGGAAAGCCATTATTTGGAGGTCGTACGGGTACTATGTCGATTCAGTCCAGTCGACGCCTCATCCTCTTCCGTATCAGAAGGAAAATGGTGCTCACGGGAAACACCACCGACAGGCGCGTCAATCAACACCTGACCAACGGGAGAATTATGTCGGGTTTTATGTACTCTAACATTCCTATGGTGCACATACAACCCTAATGCTTTGGATCTAAGTTTTCTCTAAGTATACACGCAATAAACATTTTCAAAAGCATGAAGCCTAAACTAGCATGTAATGGGATATTTGAATCATAAAAACTAGTTAGAATATTACCTCGTGTAGTAGTTTGAATGACTTGGCCTCAAGAAATCTTAGCACCCCAAGTGTGATGCCGTAAATGGAATCACAAAACACCAAGAACAATTAGGATGAATATGGAGAGGTTATGGAGACTTTAAAATAGGTTCTTACTCTTCAATATATATATATATATATATATATATATATATATATATATATATATATATATGTCTGTGTGTGTGTATGTGTGTGTGTGTAGAATATCAAGGGTCATGTGTAACCCTAGTCCATACCCATAAGCTTATGATCCACCCATTTGATTTGGATAACCACTTCATGGACTAACCCATAAGCCCATCAATCAAATCATGGATCATTAGCCAAATCCATATGTATCAATTTAATTAGTCTCTTTTAATCACTAAATTAACTCTTAAATTAATTCTTGATCAATACTAATTAAATAATATGATTCATCAATTAATATATTATACTTATAATATATTAATAAATCATAATTAACCTCTTACCCAAATATCCTTCCTAACATATTGCTTGGTTGAATGCAACCCAAATGGACCATGCTACTATCAGTTCAAGTACATACCAATTATAGTGATGGGATTAGACACCTTTTCCAACAGTCTTCCACTTGGATACGTCTAATAACTATAATTGCCGATGTAATTTAAAATCCGATTAGCAATCGTATCTCTCAAAAATCCGTTGTCCAACTCTGACACATCCATTAGATAAGTGATCATATAATCCTCTGTTCTACAAGATATTATGTGGACAAAGACATGGAATTAAAATCGTACTCATTCTCCAGCATTTTGTTTCCTGATTTCGGAGTTGTTCGACATAGAACTTAATTGAACACATGAATAGAGTTCTGACCTTGCGTGGTACATAAGTCAAAACAAAATCATCGGGGGGCCCAAGATAACGCTTTTAATCTTCTAAGAATAAAAGGAACAGATAAACTTTGACTTATATGCTTGTGCTAACTATTCATTGAATCATACATAATAGCATGCTTTATAACATCGAGTTACTGATGTGGTTACGCACTATTAATGTACAATCAACAAATAATCACCAACTCATATATGTTGGTTTGAAGATTATACGATATTATCGTCTCACAATCACTCGTGATAAATTCCATGAAGTGATATATGAGCGTGGGTTTAGTCCAATACTCAAATCTTATTTCAAGAGCAGTCATGAATGGTTGTAGCAATCTTTTGCTATGTCTAACACCTTATAAAATCATACAAAAACCCATTCATGACAGTCTTCTTTCATGACCTACTTCCAAAATATGATCGACTGTGGATAGTTTGAATAATCTTATTATTCTGGAAGTCAAAAGATGCAAAATGAAACGATAGTAAATAAGTGACACAAGACAGTAACTTTACTTATAAATAAAAAACACCTTTTATTTAACCATCAAATGTCAATTACATTCTAACAATTACAAGTTTCTAAATGTCTATTTAATCACTAAAAAAAATATCGTCCTTCAGCCCGATACTACTAGCTTGCTGCAAGTGCTTAACCCTACTCAGTCTCTTCGTAAGGGGGTATGCTAGATTTGCTTCTGAAGATACCCTCTTAGCTACGAGGAGTCCCTCTTCTACTTGATGTCTTATGAAGTGATATTTTATGTTGATGTGCCTTGATCTACTATGATCTCTTGGTTCCTTGGATAAGGCAACGATATTGTCGCTATCACAAGAAAATCTCCATGGGATCCTTTATAGCTGGTACAACGCCAAGGTGTCAGATGAAGTTCTTCAACTATATCACCTCCTTCGACGCTTCACTCGCTGCTATATACTCTGATTCACACGTTGAATCAGCTACAGTCTCCTGTTTGGAACTTTTCCAAGTTATTGCTCCTCCATTTAGGGTAAATATCCAGCTCGAATGAGAGCGGAAACTATCTTTGTCGGTCTGAAAGCTGGCATCACTATACCTTACCACTCTTAAGTCATCATTCCCACACTACAAGAAAAACAACCTTTTACGATGTACAATTTACGACACGCGCTGATTAATGATACGCAAAAGTGTGTGCCCTAAAAAAGTTGTCAGATCTTTAGAAATTTGAAGAATTTTGGACGCGCATTTTTGCGTGCCCCTAAATTTGTGTCACAAAAAAAAAAAAAAAAAACACGGAGGGCACTTGTTAAAAAGTGCGTGTCGTATAAGCATGTCGTTTTATAATTTTTTAGGAAACGCGTGTTCTCTGTTAATAACAAAGAGGGGAAACGAAATCCCAAAAGTTAAAAACCACGCCTTGTGTTCTTTTCTCCTTGTTTTCACCAGTCGAAAATAACCTTCTCCTTACAAGCCCTACTTTCGATTGATGCAGAAGCAGGTTCGATTCTTCTCTTATATGTTATCTTGAGCTTGATTTTCGATATTAGAATAGAATGCAGGGGTTATTTTTTAACTATCCTAAATTCCACAAAATCGCAGGAACCATTCTTGCTAGGGCTTTTTTCAAGAACGAAGCCCTCGGTGTTCTCTGGCCTCTACAACAATCAACGATCATGACTGTGCTTGAATAGTTGAATGTACCGCTTTCTCAACACACTTTCTTGCTCATATCTGTCTCTGATTATCCCTCATGACTTCCACACACAAACACTGTCGATCGTGAAACGTCTTCAAGGTAATCGTCATTCTCCCTCTTCTTCTCTATCCTCTTTTGTTACGGCCGAGCAACCTACCGCCTCCATTACCACCATCACACCCTTCTACTATGCTCTGCTTCCATCACTCTATGAGAAAAAACCTAAAACCTTCTACCGCCATCACATCGATGCTTCACCTGCTGAATCAATAGTTACGACAACTACCTCGTCATCCAACGATCCCAAGCAAAACCTAAACCAAGTCATCAATACAATTCAAACTACCCTAGGAACCATCCATCGGCACTACCTCACTGTGTCTTCCTTCAACGTTTCTTCCCAACTCCCGCTTCTCCAACGCCTGTAAGTTCTTTACCTGTGTATTATCAATTTGATGTATTTTCTACACACGAGCGTGTTTCAAGATTGCGATACTGACTCACTATGTCAAACAAATTCTTAATCAAATCATCTGCTTTTACTTATGGAATCTGGATAATTTTATTTTCTCTGTATGCAGAAACACACTTGTTATGGAGATGGATAATATGGCGAAAATGGTACCTCTCTCTGTCTCTGCACATAAGGTGTTTGGTAAAATGCCCCAAAGAGTATTTTTTTCTGATTACAAGTTTTTTTATGTCTAGGTACAAGTCAATGCTAAAGAAAGGGGCGTATATTCTTTTGATCAAAAAATTGTCTGAAACAATATTTAATTTTACTGCTGAATTTCATTCATGAGAGATTATGTTCCCTTTACATTTTGAGTGAAAAACTTTCTTTTGATCAAACGAGTTATTATTAAAGATGAAAAAGCTTTAGCAATTTGATGAGGTTGAAGTATGTGATTTGTAATTATAAAGATGTTACATAACGTAGGGAACACGTTTTGAGGCTAATGAAGAGATGTGTGGGGATGATGAGTACAGGAGCTCGTATTCAGGTCTATTTAAGTTTCTCTATTCTGTATGAGCCTATCTTCTATATCGAGTGTTAAAGTCTCTCTTTTGAGGACTACACTTGACAAGAGAAATGATTATAGCTGAAAAGATTATTGTACCTGTTATCAGGTGATACCACTACACCCACCCCCTGGTGATACTTCAACAGAGAGGACAGTACAGATAGATGGATCCAGTGAGCAGATTGAGGCTGCAAAACAGTTGGTTAATGAAGTAATCAGTGAGGTATGTGCAGTTTCAGAAACTGTATGCTAGATTGCACTTGCTTTTCAGTATACATAGCATCTTTATTCTTACTTAGATAACATATTATACTTTGATTGCTCAATATGTGAATCCAATGGGTGCATGATTCAAAATGAAACTCTTTAAAATGGGTTTTTTTTAAAGAACTTTCTGCTAATTTAAGACAAATTGGGTATCTTTTAGTTAAAGGTTATTACACCTCCCATTTCCGCCCTTCTTATTTGGTCTGTTATTGTAAAATATATATTTTTTTTTACATCATCTTATACCATAATCCATAAACTTGATAAATTGCCACCACATGCTTCTATTCCCTATATTCTACATGTACAATCTGAGGTTGCAGATCTCTGTTGGTGCTGCTCTTTGGAATGAACAGCTGTCTGAATGGTAAATGCATGCAGATACATATATTGCATAATGAAAAGAAGGGAGCATATTTGTATATTGGATTGTATTGCTTCTGCAGTGCTGTTGGAAGTTGGAACTTTGTCATATATACTTACAGTTGTTAGAATCAACTGATGAGTGTGTCTTATTGGGGGTTCTAACAATGAAATATACATATATATATATATATATATATTTTACATACCTGTTTATGAATATGATAAATCTAGGGTTTATATGGATATCTGATATAGTTATTAAGCATATAAAGGGTTTAAGGACTCGAATATTATGTCTTGTTGTTGATATTGCTGTTAGGATGATTCAGTGGGTGTTGGGGTAGTTGGAGTTTTGGTATGGCTCTAAATCTCTTTCCAGAAGAACTGCAAATATATCATTGCTATAGAGATTTCTGCATATTGGGGTTTGATTGAGGATGATATTAATTGCCTAATTCCTAACACACACTATTTATAGGTGTTATTCACCATTTTTATAAACCATAAGTATTTCTTTGGACAAGAATGATACACTGCTATCATATATTGTATAGTTTTTTTCCTCCTTTTTTGTTGTTGTTGTACCCATTCACTTCAAATAGGGAGAGGATAGTCTTCTTCTCACTTGTGTTCTACTGCTGGAGTAAGCTCGGTAATACCACCCGACCAGTATTACCCCGTCTTGATATATGATCATCAATATTAATTAATGTGCCTTAATAATCTAATAATAATAATAATAATAATAATAATAATAATATCTGTGCTACTGATTACTTGTAACATGTAATTGCTTTCCATGCTATTTTTTTCTGCCTACCATATCTATATGAATGTATAAAACTACTAGTATATGCTTTGTTAATTAATTTTTACCATGCATGTTTATAGAAATGTTTTTTTTGGCTAATTTAAGATTATGATGACTTTTATCATATGCAGAATCGTCCGAGAAACTCAATGGGAAGCGGTGGAGGAGGATATTCACAGCAGGCTACCAAGCTTGACCCCATAGAAACACCTGGGCCCCACCCGCACCCCAAATGCAACAAGAAGGCTATGGTTACATGCAACCAGGTGCATACCCCGGTCAACCCTCTCAATACTCCCAACCCCAATACGGAGGCTACCCTCGTTCAGCCGGATATGCCGCCGGATGGGACCAGTCCGGTCAGCAAACCGCACCGGGAGCTGGGAGCTGTTGCTGCTGGTGGTTATGATTACTACAACCAGCAACGAGCTCCCCAAACCCAACCACCTGGCGGCACCGTGGCGGCAGCAGTCGGGTCTGGTTATGGGTACAGTCATCAGGGTCAAGGTTACGATCAAGATGGGTATGGTGGGTACTCGCAATCTGATGGTCAAACTAGTCAAACTGGTTCATATGGTGGACAAGGTGATACCACTGTTGCTCAAGCTCCACCACCTGCATCTGGAGCTCAATCTGGTTATGTTCAGCCTCCACCGCCTGCTGCTGCATCATATGGTTCCTATGGGGCTCAGCCGCCTTCTGGGTATGGTGGATATGGACAGAAGCCTCTTGTTACTCCACCGGCTTATGGACAGTCGCCGCCACAACAGTCTCCTAATGCTGCCCCACAAGGTGGTGGCTATGCCCAACCAGCTCCTTATAGTGGTTATGGGCAGGCGGATGCAAGCGGTCAGCACCCTCCTTACGGTGGTGTTGCTGCTAGGTATGGCCAAGCAGTGTATGGGTAGCAGCCGGCAGCAGCAGCATATGGAGGCTCATATGGTGGTGGTTACCCCCAGCAACCCCCTGCATATGCCGGCGAAGCGGCTGCTCCGGTAACCCAAGCAAGTCAGGGTAGCAGTGGTGGTGGTGGTGCGGTTGCTAAAGCTTCACCTCAGCAGAGTTGATGATCAGGTAAGAAGAGTAGACCATTTCATAATTTTTATATCATATTTATAATTTATAATTTATAATTAACAGTTAATTTCTCTTTATTTAGGCACACTTACTGGATGGGCGGGCAAGTGTTGGTGCAAGTGTCGATTCAGCCAGGCAAAACCTGGCAGCTACATTTACGAATGATTTTGTAAATGTTGGCTTTGGTCAGGTATTTAATATTTTTCGACTACTTTTGTCAAAATAAATAAATGATCTAATAATTTAATTTATGTTTCTCTTTTTAAGGATAAACTAAAGAGGTTCATATGGCCTTAGAGTTGGAGAACTAAAGTTGATCTTGCATTAGGAGATATACATGTTGCAAAGTGTATCAAGTCTGACTACCCATGTGTCCCATTGGAGGAAGCTCAAGGTTCTTTACTTCTCTTACAATGTAATAATCCATCTTCATTTTTATTTTGTAGGTTTTTTTTTTTTTTGCAGGCAATATAGATATTTTGAGCAAGTTCATAGATTTAGAGTTCTTGAATGGTGTTACTAAGGAAGAGTGGAGACAAGTGAGGCACACATTTAAAAAAATCAGCACAAATCTTGTTTATAGTGAGGCACACATTAGGTTATCAGAACTATTAGTTTGTAAATTTCTGTTACAACTCTACTGATTTGTTTTATCTTTAATGGTACGATTATTTGTATGACATTAAATTTTATGCAATGGATTGTATTTTTTGTATATGATATTTTATTTTCTATTATGAGACATTAAATACAAATTTAATTTGAAAATTAGTAAATCTATATATAATATTTTTTTTTTAAAACATTTAAAATTATGATACGCAAAAATGTGTGTCATCTTCATTTATGACATGACCTTTCTTGACAGGGGCTTTCTTGATACGCATTGTGTGTCATTAACAAGAACGTCGTAATGTTACGACACGCGAATGCGTGCCGTCTTCCTTTATGACAGGGCATTCCTTGATACGCATTGCGTGTCGTAAACGCACGTCGTAAATGTGCGTCGTCTCTCTTTATGACAGGGCCTTCCTTGACATGCATTTGCGCGTCATCTGAGCCTTTTACGACGTGCAATGAGCATCATAAAAGACTATTTTTCTAGTAGTGCCACCAAGGGTAAGGATCCAATCCTTAGTCCTTCGTAGGTACATAAAAATGTTATTTACCGCAGTCCGGTGAGTTTTACCAGGATTCCCATGATATCTGCTAACCATGCTCAATGCAAAGGCTACATCAGGGCGAGTACAGTTCATAACATAAATGATCGAACCAATTGCAGAAGCATATGGTATTCGACTCATTTCTACTATTTCGGCATTGGTGCTTGGACTTTGAGTATTACTCAATCTGGCATTGCTTTGGATAGGTAATTCTCATCTCTTGGAACCTACATGTTGAAACGTTTCAGTACCAAGTCCAAGTAGGTACTTTGACTGTGTCCTATTAGTCCTTTACTCATGTTTCTCAATATCCTTATCCCTAGAATATAAGCATTTTCTCCGAGGTCCTTCATACAGAAACACTTCCCAAGCCAAGACTTAACCTCCTGCAAGGTTGCTAACTATACTCCCACTAGCTTTGACATATACACAGGACTCATCCTCGCTTCGTGAGAAACCAAACTCTTTGACTTTCTCATCGAAACAAAGATTCCATCTGCGAGACGCTTGTTTCAATCCATAAATGCATTTCTCAAGCTTACACACTCTATTAGGGTACTTTGCATCGACAAAACCCTCTGGCTGATTCATGTAAATATCCTCAGCCAACTTCCCATTAAGGAAAGCGGTTTTGACATCCATTTGCCATATTTCATAATCATGAAATGCAGCTACGACTAGCATAACCCTTATAGATTTAAACTTTGCTACTGGTGAGAAGGTCTCGTCATAGTCAACTCCTGGAGTTTGAGTATAGCCATTTGCAACCAATCCCGCCTTATAAGTGTGTACTTTACCATCCATGTCGGGCTTCTTCTTGAAGATCCATTTGTCCCCAACTGTCTTACGACCTGGTACATTGTCAACCAAGTTCCAAACTTGATTGTCATACATGGACTGAATGTCGTTGTCCATCGCCTCTTTCCATTTAACAGACTTGGGGCCTGCCATGGCTTCCTTGTAGTTGTTAGGTTCATCCAAATTTACCAGTGTACTATCACTGATAAATGTATCACCTTCAGAAGTAATATGGAAACCATAAAACTCTGGTGCCTGTCTAACTCTATCGGAACACCTCAGAGGTAAGGACTCGTCAATTGGTTCAACAAGAGTTTCCTCCTTTAGTTGAGCGCTAGTGTTTGAGGTTCCTTCATCACTTAACTCTTGAAGCTCTTCAAGGTCATTTTTCCTCCCACAATCCTTCTGAAATATGAGTTCCCTCTCGTGGAAAACTCATCTCCTCACAATGAAGACAACATTGTCACTCGGTCTATAGAAGAGATATCCAAAGGATTTATGTGGGTAGCCAACGAAAATACATCGCTCACAATGAGGTTCAAGCTTGTCGTGAGTCTCTCGTCTTATGAAATCCTCGCAACCCCATACCTTGATATGTGCTAACGAGGGAACCTTCCATGTCCACATTTTATGAGGTGTTTTGGCAACCTTTTTAGTTGGGACTAGATTAAGGATATGTGCGGCAATCTCTAAGGCATATCCCCATAATGAGATAGCTAACGAAGCTCGACTCATCATGGAACGAACCATGTTTATCAAGGTTCGATTGCGCCTCTCAACTACACCATTAAGTTGTGGTGTCCTAGGTGGCGTCAATTGTGAGACAATTCCACATTCCTTAAGATAGTCATGGAACTCAATACTAAGATACTCTCCTCCATGATCGGATTGAAGCATCTTTATCTTCCTGCACAATTGATTCTCCACTTCTTGCTTAAACTCTTTGAACTTTTTAATGGTTTTTGACTTATGCTTGATTAAGTAGACATAGTCATATATGTTGTAATCATTAGTAAAAGTCACATAGAAGCGGTTAGCATCCCTTATGGAGAATCTGAAGGGTCACACACATCGTTGTGTATGAGGTCCAACAAACCTTCACCCCTTGCACAAGAACCAGTGAAGAATGACTTATTCATCTTTCCAAGTAAACAAGATTCACAAGTGTCATCCGACTTTAAGTCAAATGACTCCAACACTCCATTCTTTTGGAGTTGGGCTATGAGCTTCTTGTTGACATGTCCAAGACAACAATGCCATAAGCATGATTTATCCAAATCATTGAATGAATCAATATGCAACACATTATTTCCTAAGCTATCTACAACCATCACAGTTTCATATATGTCATTGCAAGGTAATGCTTCAAAATAAAATACACCATTAAAATAAGCATTTATTGAACCAATTTCATTATTAAAAGAAACGGTAAAACCTTGTTCATACAAACTATGAAAGGAAATAATATTTCTCACCATATCAGATAAGAAGCAACAATTATTCAAATCTAATTTTAACTCACTACTAAGCAATAAAAAATAAACTCCAATCTTGGTGACAAACGACTTTTTCCTATTCCCCATGATTAAGTTCATCTTCCCGTGCTCCACGTCCCTACTTCTTTTTAGACCATGCAAATCAGAACAAATGTGAAAACCACATCCTGTATCAATGACCCAAGAATTAGCATGTGATGAGTTATTAGATAGAATAGTATAAATACCTGCAAATGAGGGTTTGATCTTCCCATCCTTTATGTCCGGCAAGTATTTGGGGGAGCGTTGTCTCCAGTGCCTTTTTCATGGGAATGGAAGCACTCGGCTTCCTTTGGATTGGAAAAGGGTGTGACAGAACCAACTTTGGTTCCACTAGAAGAGGATACAACATGGGAATTTCCCTTATGACTCTTGTAAGGAGTCTTCCTCTTCTTTCCCTTTCCATGTCCAATTGCTAGGACAGGGGCAGTTGCAGTAGGAGTAGGTACAACAGATTTTCTTTTCAAACTGCTTTCAGCAGTTCTCAAGAGAACTTAAAGCTTGATTAGAGTGACCTCCTCCTTGTTCATATGATAATTCATATGAAACTGATCATAACAAGGAGGTAAAGAGTGTAGAATAATATCTATAGCCAAATCTTCATCGAAGTTGACATTCAACTTCAGCACGCGGTCCACAAACCTTTGTATCTTTTGCAAGTGGGACGTGGTGGACTCTACATCCTTCACTTTGTTCGTGATCATGGAGGCAATGATCTCATACCTCTCCTGATGAGAACTTTGATGGTACCTTTCCATCAAATCCTGGTGCATTTCATAAGGCCAAAAGTCCTCATAGGACTTTTGAAGCTCAGTAGTCATGGTAGCGATCATTATACACGACACTTTGGTCGCGTCCCTCTCATGAGTTTTGTACTCATCAATTTGTACGGGAATAGCAGTTGATTCGTCAACCTCCTTAATCTCTTTATCAAGTACATATTATTCTTTTTCCTCATAACAAATAGCCATTCAGATGTTTCGAATCAAATCATTGAAATTCAATCTATCAAAGATGACCCTCCCACATAAGTTCATGAGGGAGAAAGAGCCGGAAGGGATTGGGTTGGAAGCATTGTATGAAGTAGACATCTGAAAAGAAAGACAAAGTTTAGATTAGATAAGGATCCTTAATATAACACCCAAAATGGAATATTAAGGCTAGGACCCAACACAATATTCTACAATTCGGAAGAGGGATGCCGTAATACAATTGTAAAATATTTGGAGGTAGGTAAATCACAATTTACCAATTTTCGCCATGAAAACGAAATTGAAGATTAGGTTTTAAATGAATTGAAATTCCTAGATTCTTTTGAGATTCATTGAACTCTTCAATGGCATGTTTATATCTTGATTATGCCCTTCAAGTTTGTGACTGGGATACGGAGGAACACAAACAAGGTGTGATAACCATGTAAATTAGCTTGGTACTCTCGATGTTATAAATCACCTAATCAATGTGTCGGTTAACCACACACGCTCCATTGATCCATGATTAACACCAAGCTACCCTTTGCCACACATTGTCAGTCCTAAATTAGTGTGCCGGTTAACCACACACGCTCCACTAACGACTTAACAAGGTGCAAAAAGCAATTTTATGGAATAGCACCATTTTCACATTTTTCCTAAAGTAACTAAGATTAGTAATTTATAATAGTTTAGTTAATTTAATAATTTTCATTATACTTATTAATGACAATGATGTCATATCCTACCCGTTCACCTAACGACCTCCACCAGTCAAGGGAGCGGTGGGTGAGAGTGTACACCCATTAAACCACCATTTTATAGGCAGTAACCATATACCCCCCTTATAGACCGGCTTCATGAATGAGGCCTACTAACGATAAGACTGACTTGTCTTATACATACATATATATATATATATATATATATATATATATATATATATATAAGTATTAAATTTTAATATTATAATAGTATAAGGGTTGATTTTCAAACTTTTAAAACTCTAGGGTTTGGAATTATAGTTTCATTAATGTAACTTTTCAAGTTCCAAAACTTGAGGGAAAGTTTTGTAACTTGTCAAAAACTTTTGACATTCATAACTTATGAACTTTTATGTTGCATGAATGAGACCTTTCCAATTCTAAACTTGTGTACAAGTTATGAAACCTTTCAAGACTCTTAGAATTCTATAACTTACATTAGTTAATGGTTTCATAAATAAGTACATT